AAATTAATCAGTTTCAAGAGCAGGAGATGAAGTTTAATTAAAAACGTCTCAGGTGGTTCACTCAGAGTGCAGCTGTGAGTCTGCTTCTTTTCTGGTGATCTGAGCTTTTCTTAAGAACACAGCCGGGGGGATAAATCCACTGATTTCTGGGTAATGGTGTTAAATCCACCTGTTGTGCTGGCAGCTGCACCTGCAGTACGCCTGTGTCGTCTGTGTGGTGGAGTGGAGGGAGCTCTCATCAAACCTCCTGCAGGTAGAAATAAAGTACCCGAAGCTGAAGGAGACTGCAGATAGAGAGGAGGCAGGTTCCACTGTTTAGACTTTAAGACCTTCCACTTCTCGGCCAATGACCACATGGATTATGTCTCTTGATCCAATCATACCACCCCCGCTTCCCGTCTCTGTGTTCACTCAGCAGAAGGCTGAAGGACGTCAGCACGGCTGACCTCCATCTTTCTGAAACCTTTCTGTCAGGATGTCTCTGGATCTGCACCAGATCTTCTGTTCTTTAGAAGTTGGGGTGGTGAGTCAGCTGCTCATTAGCTCCTCTGGAGTCACGCTTCACCAGCTGATACCTTACAGCTGCTGAGCCAGTTTGCTTCGTAGCCTGCTCTCTGCTTTTAGCTGCCTCGAGTTAGCTGGAGAGGAGTCGGCTGCTTTTCCATGCTGTGATATTAATCCGTTAAAATGTTACTTATAACACGTCCGTCTATATACAGCGCTGTTTCTGCCAGTTCAGACGTGCTTATCGTGTCTGAGGACTGTTCTTCATGACTGTGGCTGCGTGTTTGGGCTCTGATGGTACTGCTTGAGTAACAGCACTAATTCTGATTGCAGGGAATTCACTTCCTGCCTCACACGGTTCAGAGGTCGCCGAAGTGGACCTCAGGACCGTGTGAGGTCCACTTGAATAAAGCGTGCTGTCAAAGCAGAGACTCAACCGCTGCATTGGAAAACTGTGAAAACAAATTTTTGAGTTCAGTTCGGTATAGAGGCTTCATAATGTGTTTTAAGATATACTGTATATCTTTAAAGATATACTGTTTCCCCAAAGTCAGGAACAGCTGTAACACAACACTTTAGCTGAAGCACTTTGTTTTAAACATGCTTGGAGCTTCACTCTGCTGCCTGCAGACTTTCATCCTACAAACTTCTGTTAGAGGAAGTATCACAGTTTGACTCACCAATCCAGAGAAAAGCTCTCACACTTTCATACAAAGGTGAAACCCTCCACTTGTCTTCCACATCAGAGGTCCTGAGCCCGTCTGACCGCACTCCTGAATAAAGGTCTGCATGAAGCGAGTCCTCAGATTCACATCATCAGGTCTGCTTATTTCCAGTCCTCACGTTGAAGCACGTGTCTTGTTGCTGTGCTCACTTGTAGAAATGAGACTCGTCAAAGAAACTGTGACTTTTCAAGCATCCTCGTGTTTACGTGCACTGAACCTCACACACAGGCTTGTTCTCAGCCTGGTTTCACGCAGGAAGTTTCAGAAGAGTCGTCCTGGGATCTTTTCCACAGTTTTCCTCTCCACAGGAAACGACCTGCTTTAGACACCATTCTGATAGTACCTTAAATAATTCGCACAGAAGTCCAGGTACTGTGGACACGATTATTTAACAAGGTTACTCAAAGACTGGAAAAAATTGAGAGTACATCAAAATAGAAATCTGTGTTTTAATGAAGTGGATTTGCTTGAACTTTAATTACAGTTGAACTGGAAAAGCTAAATAAGTAAATCTGTGTGTACTGAAGCAGTTATTCCACAGCCTGGAGGGGAGAGTTTGGACTTTTCTGGAAAAAGTAAAAGAAAAATGTGCTGAAACAAACTTCTGTTCTTGTTCTAATATTAATTGGAACCCAAAATTGTAACTGAAATTAAAAATTGATCATTTTGTTCATGCAGACTTTTTCAAATGGAGCTGAAGACCTGGTGTTACAGAGCCGCTGAGGTTAATGCAGTGCAGGTGTGAAAATGGCGTAGTCACGTGTCACATGATGTTGTTTATTCGCACATAGTTTATTTATTTAGTGATGCGCTCTTCTGTGTGTCCGCTGACTCTGTCTTTGAGTAAAAGCATACGAATGCTCTCACTGTGCCGCAGATGCAAACATGTAAAACTGCGTGTGCATGTGAGTAAGTATGAAGCTCAGATCCATTAATGGGATCTGTCAGGTGTTTCCATGAGTCAGTAATGAGATTACAGCACCCATGAATCCATTCACGGGTCTGTGCGCCCGCCTGTGTTTCCATCTGTTACCAGATGAATGTGGATGATTTCCTACACAGCCTGTGACCGGCTGAGAGTCGCCGCGCTGCAGCTTCGCATGGCGCCGTTCGGCTTTTTAAAGGAAACTACGATGCGTTCGTGTGGCGTGCTTCCTGATCACATGAACATGAGTGATCTGTTCAGAGCTGCTGACACTTGTTTACTGTTTTAAATGACTCCAGATATTAGAGCCCCCCCCCCCCTTCCGTGCTGCAGTGCATGTTTGTTGTCGGTGCTGACAGGGCGGGGTTTGTGTGTTGTTCGCGATGCTGCTCAGGAGCACGATGTGGAGACGGCCCATGGCGTGCTGCACGTCACCATGAGGGGCGCCGCTAAAGGCAACCGGCCCACGATCCTCACCTACCACGACATCGGACTCAACCGTGAGTGAAACACGGACACGGTTAATGAAGCAACGAACTATGTGACAACAAAAACACAACACATTGTTCTCTTTGTGTGTGTGTGTGTGTGTGTGTGTAGATAAGTCATGTTTCAACAGCCTCTTTAACTTTGAAGACATGCAGGAAGTGACGCAGCACTTCTCAGTTTTGCATGTTGATGCTCCGGGACAGCAGGAGAACGCTCCCATATTCCCTACAGGGTAACACACACACACACACACACACACACACACACACACACACACACACACACACACACACTCATTCTGACACACACTCAGCATGCTCTGTTGGGTATTAACACACACACAGGTGCCGTTTTCCATGGTGTAACACTCACCAGTGTTGTCTTGTGGCTGATCTGTTGTTAACACAAAACGGTCCCCATTAAACAGCTGCTGTGTTTTTAAATCATAGATTAGATTAGAATAGATTCTGCAAACTCAGAAGAAAATGACTATATTTAATAAAAACAGTTATAATGTTGCAACAACATACTTCAGGAATGCTTGCTGCTTTTTTAAAAACCCCGTATTTAACCTGAAGTGTCCTGATATTTGCAGCATTTTGACTTGTTAGCAGAAACAGGAGCTGTCAGAGAAACCTGCACCAGCTTAGGAAGAACTCTTCCTTTACACACAGTTACAGTTACAGTGGTCGGTTACATTAGTGTCACATTAACACTGGACCCTAAATCTATGCAGAGCTATTGTGTAGAATATGCTTCTTCACAATCTGCTAATTTTCCACTCAGATTTGTAAATAATAAAGCAGAGAGGCAGACGGTGTCAGACGGCGGTTGTTCCCACCTTCAGCTGTGCAGTAGCAGCTTCTGCTGGTGTGTGGAAACACAGCTCGGACAATCCACCCACAGCAGCTGTACACTGTGACAGCAGAAGCAGTTTGTTGTTATGAATACGATTACAGCTGATAAGAATGATTTTCACAGCACTGGATATTATGATCGCTGCACTGCTTTAACTGTCCACTGGTGTGTGTGCATGATGGGGAAAAGCTGTAGAACAAAGTGCTGCAGGACTGACTGTGTGGAAGGGTTAATGTGCCCGTTCTTTATTTCAGCAAGAACTTTGTTTTCTCTTGTTTTCAGGCAATAATAATGACTTTATATTATGTAGTGGGTTTACATTACATTACCGGTATAGTAGTAACAACAAATACTGACCTACAAAGTAAACAGCAGCTGACTAAATCTAACAAAGAAACTCTGGAGAAGATTTTCTAACAGCGCTTAAAATGTTGGTTAGTGATG